CCTTTGTTGGTGAACCCGAAGAGTTGCATCATCAAAGCTTTGTCAATCCGCCGAAGGTCACCTCCTAACCGACAAGTCATAACTTCCCGATTTTCAACTAAACGAAAAAAGGTGAAGAACTCCATAGTCAACACCGTGTATGCCAGACGACGAAACTTTACATATGTCTCCAAGTGTAATGCCTTAAGATATGTCACAATTTGGTCCTCCACACCAAGAATGCAACTCCAATGAAAATCAATCGACTTAGGGTTCAACACATCATACTTTAAAAGCTTTTCATAGACCGCGCGTTCACCAAAACTAATGATCTTGAAAGGCCCCGGGTAGTCGGTTAATGTTTTGTCGATTCGCTCAACTGGTGCTTCTTCATCACTGGCGATAGCCTTCTCTTTACCTTTGCGAGCCATATATATGCACTTCACGAGTATAATGCCCTCAAAAATCCACAACAATCCGAGAGTGTACCTAAGAAATTTTTTTGACACGTCCGGCAAGACGTGTCCCCAAACGCAACAATAATATCCAAAGCACGCAAATATCACACAATCCCAATTTCACCTTTCCACTTCACCTTTGAAATCAATCAATCAACAATTTCCAACTCCAAATCACCTTCTCCAAGTAAATCAACACAAATTTCCAACACAAATCATGTCAAATTTAAACGAACAATTTGAGTTTAGCTATTATACCTCGGGTCGATTGAAAAGTCGGGACGAGACAATATGAACCACCAGAAAAGAACAAAGGAACCTGAGGCTGGGGGTGTCGAGGTTCCGGGCTAGGTTGCTGAAAATCGGACAGAGGTGGCCGTGCACGGAGGGATCTTGGTTGCTAATCGGTGATGTACGCCATCGGGAGTCGTTGCTCGTGAACCAGGGTCGAGGAAAAGTTGCAGACAGGGGCTCGTCGGTGGTCTGTGCATCGCCGGAAGTTGCAAGTGGCCGTCAGAAATCGAAGCCTCGTCGCGCGGCGGTCGGAGGAAGGGAAGAAGTAAAGTCGCGACGGGGCGACGGAAGTGAGAGAGAGATGTCGGTGGTGGGAGCAGGCGTTGTTGTGGGAAGGAGAAAATCACCGTAGGGGCGGTCT